CATACAGAGCAGTTCTAGACGGTACTCCTTATAAAATTATTTACAGAGACCCAACAATTCCCACCATGAGCAAGCGCTAGGTGACAGCGGCGAGGAAAACCTAACACAGGTATGACCACACGGACAATACACGTCCATGTAGAGTATCTCAGGGCTTTACCCTCCCTGCTGCAGCTTCCTCTGCAGTATTAATGAGTCTGTTTTAGTCGTGCGGCGGTAACAGGATATTCATTCCGACAGACAGGAAAGTTAAGCTCTGAACGGACGCTGCTGCAGACTAACACACGTCTAAACAGAATCCCAAATATTCATTCCTAACTTTATCATGCGACTCAACACGAATAAAACATAACATGCATCCTACTAGAGGGGGAACCACACTCCTGTTTCCTATCAACACTGTGGACCTACTGGAGGAGGGGCAGAGAGGGAACCAGAACCCCTAACTGGATGAGTTGAGGTCAGACCCCCACTGAGCAGAGAGTGAGCCTTCCCCGGACGCTGCAATGTTAGATATTTGTCTGGGCAAGTAAACATTCAGTCCTTCCACATGCAACACAGCAGCTAAAGAAAAACCAACACATACAGACACGATAAAGGGAAGAACATTTTTTTTTAACATTTGAACTGTGAAGACTGTAGTGTCACACTCACAAGACATTCTGAGGAGTTTGAATCAACCATCAATTAACAATCTTTAGAGGTTTTTTAAAAACAAAAAAACAAAAACAAAAGAAAAAAAACAAGGTTACATTTTTGCATTTGCCTAAAAATCTTCTGAACACCAAACCCGGCTGTTAGCTGTGTAGAGGAGCGAAAGCGTATGTACATGAGAATCATTGCACTCTTTGAAAAGTTCGGTGCCACTTTTGAGAGCGTTACGCAGGAATGAAGCGAGTACAGAACACAACATGCGGCTGCGAGACCCCGCAAAGGTCGAAACCCAACATACTTCGAAAGCTTTTCAAAAAGGATCATCAAGTAAAAAATATACATGAATGGACAAGGACAGGCCTTCCACAGTGGAGACTCTGGACTCCACCCTCTACTTGATACATGAGTGTGGTGGTTGTGGAGGGACAAACTTACAGGAAAAACGATGCCACAGTCAGTATGAAAAACACAACGTGGCAGGAATGACTGGGGGGTGAAGACGATGTGAAGCATGTGTGTACGCAGAATGAGAGGATGAGCGGAGTGACGACTTCCCTCCTCAATGCGACAGTTCAGTTGGTGGGATGACAGATGATAAAGAGGAGGGAGGAGGACGAAGGGGGGGAGGGAGGAGGAGCTCAGATGGATGACTCGCGGCTGAGGGGGAAGGCGCTGGGCGGCTCTCCTCCTCCCCCCGCCCCAGAGGAGGCGCCAGGGAGGGGGTCGATCTCTTCTCCAGACTCCTCGATGGGGGGGATGCGAGCCTCCTCCTCGGACAGGGGGACGAACTCGGGATGGGCCATGAAACTGTGGATGGAGCTACGGGACTCTGGGCTCTCCAGCCCCGCGTACAGGGAGCTACGGAACGCGTTCACCACCTTAATCTGAAACAAAGACAGAGAGGAGACATCAGAGGATGAGCAGATCGACAGATACAGGTCCCATTTTTATGAAAATGTCAAACAAACACAGTGGTCGTGCGGCTGAATCTGGGCGGGGGGGTGAAGGTGCAAAACCACAAAACACACAACGTTAACAAGTGAAACAGCTGGATGGGAACATGGCGGGAGAACAGAAAATATAATTTCCACAAAACATCAACCAAACAAAAAGGTCAAAAATGAAATAAAAGGTCAACATGATGTCGGAGGCAGCCGAGTGCAGGAAGACAAACTACAACCAAAATCCACCAACAGGTGGCAAAATGTGGAGGGGCATCAGATCACCATGGCTACAACACACACACACACACAAACTCACTCATGTGTGTTTCCATCACTCATCATTCACTCCTCTCATCACTCGGCAGAGGTTCACTGCCGCTCTTTCAACCCAACCTTAAATTCAACAACTGTTTGTCCAAAAGCCTGTGGACACCTGAACATCACTTCCCTATGAGATGATAGTTGAGGAAGTCAAAGGCATTAATCTTCTGCTATAACAACCTCCACTGTTCTGGTTTCAGACTTTCAGATTCAGATTTTGGAATCTGGCTTCAGGGATTTGCTCCCATTCAG